TTGGCGGCCCGCGCGCGCACACCGGAAACCCAAGCTGACCGACGCCAGAGGTCCTGATTTGTTGGACGCGCAGAGCTCTGGCTTTAAATTCCATCCCCACGAAGTCTGAGGAGACAAGACCAGGTGGCTTCTCAGAAACAAACTGGTCCCTTCAGCATGCTCCTGCAAAGAAGAGAGCTTCGTGAGAGGCGTTTTTATTGTTTCAGAAGCTGCCCCCTCGCACCGCCCCCGATCAATTTCTACTCAAGAACCGGTCCTTGGACCCCATTATACAGTTCAGCGGGCCAGGCCCGTGCTTTGAGCCCCGGCATCAGCCAGCCCCTCCGTTTGCATCCGTTTGGGCCAGGAGTCGCGCTTGCCAACAACGACGCTTGTCATCGCGCGCCTTGGCTGCGCGCTGCTGGGGGCGTTGGCGCTGAGCGAGCTGGACTGGCTCGCCAATTTCCTAGCGAAAGCGAGGAGGACGGCCTCTCGTGGACGACAACGAGGTGCTCTGGAAGGGTGTCCCAGCGGTGCACATTGCGCCTTGGAGCAGCTGGAACTGAATTTACGCGCAGTCGAAGTCGAAGCCGACCGGTGTGGTGATGCCCCTCGTGAGCAAGGTGGGGGAGTCGAAATCTGCTAACTGGGCGGCGGTGCGCCCCGCGCAATGGGTCGCGCTCCTCAACCTGAGTGACAAGGCCTTTATATACGGCAAGCCGAAGAAGGACATCGTCTGGAGTGAGCATCCTGGGTTGAACAACGAGCAGAAGAACCAGGCCGCGATCGCGTCGGAGAGGCTCATCGCCCGCGCCGATTCGTTCGCAGCCGAGTCCGCGACCGAGAAAACGGAAAAAAGAACAAGCAAGCAGAAGCTCTCCAACCAAAACAACACGGCGATGTGGATGGGCAAAGGCTTCATCTCTACAGTCTGCACGATTTGGAGCCACCGCGTGTTTGGCATGTCTGCTGCCACCGGGTTCGTCGAGTTCAACAGGGAGGGGCTGGGAGGCCCAACCGGATGCTGCGCCCGTGTCCAACTCTATTCCACCGTAGAATGCTCGCCCTAAGAACAAGGGAAAAAAACGCGGGAGCGAGGAGCCATGTCAAGCGAATATGTTTTGGGCCTCGATGGCAAATAGCGCGCCTCGCAATGGGGCGCAGTCATCTGCTGGCGGCCCGCAGCTTGGGCCCACGCGGCCACGGACAAACGGTCGCCACCTCTCGCCCTTGCCCAACCTCCTGCAAGGGCGGGGGTGGGTGGGTGGGGGCGAAGCGCGAGTCAGCCGCCAGCTAAACAGCAAAACGCTATAATGCACAAGGTAGGCAGCAGCATGCGGGATCAACGAAGGCAGGTTAACCCGCGCGCGAGTTACCTTGAACGCAAGTTACCTCGCAGGCAAGTTGCCCTACAGAAAACTACTCTTCAGGCGATTAAAGTTGATCTTGTTTGGCCAGCGCTGTATCGAGTGCGTCGTTTCAGGTTATGATTGAAGGATTGCGTTCCTCCTATGACGTGTAGGGGCATGTCTCTGTCGATGCGCCCCATGGCGTGGACATCCGCAATCGCATCGCGAGTGTCGCGCCCCTGCGCACAGCGCACGATGCCGCAACCCATCACGTGTCGCATCCAAGTGATGTGCCCCCAAAGTGCACGCCCCGTCGGTTTCTTCAGGTCTTTGCTTGTCAAGGACTAAAAGACATATTCTGCATCGATGGTCGAGGTGGCCTTAATGTTCAGACCGCCCATCTCTAGTATATCCTTCTATTGAGCGGGTGTCAGCGGCCCTGCGTGGAGCTCGTGCAGACTGACGATCGTGGGATAGCAGCCCTCCAATTTGTGGGCCGCTGCAAGTGTTTCCGCCGAGTGGCTCGATCGAACCTGCAAACGATGAGACTTGCAGTGCGAGCCGACGAGATGGGCGGCGGGCTTGCCGGCGTGCGCGTGCCCGCGCCTTAGCAGGTTTGCCCCGCGAAAACCATGGCCTTCGACGTCGTCATCGGCATCGGCGCTCAGGCGCCGGTAGTCGGAGTCGCGGCGCAGGTCGACCTCAACCGTTGGGGCCGTCGCTTGTTTGACAATTTTTTCAAGGCGTGCCTGCAACTTCCGGGCAATCGCGCCCAGTCGTCGCACTTGAGCGTTGGTCTTGGACGCGCTGCAGCGGTGGAACCCATGCCACTAACGAACCGCACTTGCGTGTTCGCGGTCGAAGGATGCGTTCCAACTGATTTCGAAGTGGGGGCGTTGACTCGGTGCTCCGACATAGTGGGCTGAATGTGCTCCAGAAGCGTTCGCGCTGAGGCCGTGGCTCTTGCTTCGGTCGCGCATCCTCCATCGAAGGTTGAAATATCGTTTCTTTCTCTGATGGCGCCACTTTCACCGACCAGTACGTTGCATGTTCTCCGTGAGGAGTGGGGCTTTTCGTAGCCCGACTGATCGGAAAACATGTGTACTTGTTCACCATGCTGTTATCAATATTGCTTCCTGTAACAATATCTTGAACATGTTCGGGCGGTGGATTGGGGGTGTACTTATTGTAGTCAGGGCGAGACATGTGATAATATGATGTAAGCTGTGACTGTAATCGGGATACTAAGAAGGAGGGCTGGCCGGCTGGAGGACGCGCGGGCGCTCGCATCATTTTCCTGATCGCGGCCAAGACAGCTGCGGGCATGCACATAATAATGACGCTGAGGTTTCGCAGGGGTGTGACTGAATCATTGTGCGTGTACTTTTTGTTTGGAAGGGGGGTCCGAAATAGTAGTATCGTACATGTGGGCCCCCAGAACCCCCTGAAAAAGGCCGGCAACAAACGCCCGATGTTGTCAGGTTTCCCCACCTAGAGCCTGTTTGTGTGTTTTGTTGTCCAACCCTCCTGCGTTGGGTTCTCGTTTTGATTAGAGCACTGCTCGCGCGTCTCCTTCCCACCCCCTCCCCTCCCTCTCTTCCCCCCTGCCTCTTGCCTCGCTCGTCGCTGCGTGTCAGGTGGGGGGCTGCGATCTGTGAAACTGTCGCCACTTTCGAGGCCTGCTGGGGGGCCCAGCGCAGTGTGCACCCGCGGCGGATTCAAATGGGACCTCACCATCCCTGGGGGGTTGCGATCTGTGAAACTGTCGCCACTTTCGAGGGTTGCTGGGGGGCCCAGCACAGTGTGCACTCGCGGCGGATTCAAATGGGACCTCGCCATCCCTGGGGGCTGCGATCTGTGAAACTGTCGCCACTTTCGAGGGCTCCTGGCACAGTGTGCACTCGCGGCGGATTCAAATGGGACCTCGCCATCCCTGGGGGGCTGCGATCTGTGACACTGTCGCCACTTCTCGAGGGCTGCTGGGGGCCCAGCACAGCTTGCACTCGCGGCGGATTCAAGTGGGACCTCGCCATCCCTGGGGGGCTGCGATCTGTGAAACTGTCGCCGCTTCTCGAGGGCTGCTGGGGGGCCCAGCACAGTGGGTACCCATGGCGGATTCAAGTAGGACCTCGCCATCCCTGGGGGGCTGCGATCTGTACTCAGACTAGACCTCGCCATCCCTGGGGGGCCTGCGATATGTGAAGCTGTCGCCACTTTCGAGGGCTGCTGGGGGGCTGCGATATGTGAAACTGTCGCCACTTTCGAGGGCTGCTGGGGGGCCCAGCACAGTGGGCACCCGCGGCGGATTCAAGTGGGACCTCGCCATCCCTGGGGGCCTGCGATCTTTGAAACTGTCGCCACTTCTCGAAGGCTGGTGGGGGGCCCAGCACAGTGTGCACCCGCGGTGGATTCAAATGGGACCTCGCCATCCCTGGGGGGCTGCGATCTGTACTCAGACTAGACCTCGCCATCCCTGGGGGGCTACGATCTGTGAAACTGTCGCCACGTTCGAGGGCTGCTGATGGGTCCCAGCACAGTGGGTACTCACCGCAGACTCAGATTAGACCTCGCCATCCCTGGGGGGCTGCGATTTGTGAAACAGTCGCCACTTTCGAGGGCTACAGGAGGTTGCCCTTCGGCTCGCGTTCGGAGAGCGGGTGTCGGCCGGGAGGATCCAAGGAGGAGGAGGAGGAGGAGGAGGAGGAGGAGGAGGAGGAGGAGGAGGAGGAGGAGGAGGGGGAGGAGAGGGATGGGGACGCGGTCCTCTGAGGGGTGGCCCGCCTGCACTGCTGCAGCTGCTGTTGCTGCTGTTGCTGCTGCTGTTTCTCCCCTTGCTCTTCCCTTCCCCTTCTGTTTGTCTTTTTGTTTCCCAACCCTCCTGCGTTGGGTTCTCGTTTTGAATAGAGCACTGCTCGCGCCTTCCTGCCGCCCCCCTCCCGCCCCTCTCTTCCCCCCTGCCTTCGCTCGCCGCTGCGTGCCAGCTGGGGGGCTGCCACTTTCGAGGGCTGCTGGAGGGCCCAGCACAGTGGGTACCCTCCGCGGCTGGGGGCTGCGATCTGTGAAACTGTCGCCACATTCGAGGGCTGCTGGGGGGCCCAGCACAGTGTGCACTCGCGGCGGATTCAAATGAGACCTCGCCATCCCTGGGGGGCTGCGATCTGTGAAGCTGTCGCCACTTTCGAGGGCTGCTGGGGGGCCCAGCTCAGTGTGCACTCGCGGCGGATCCAAATGTGACCTCGCCATCCCTGGGGGGCTGCGATCTGTGAAACTGTCGCCACTTTCGAGGGCTGC